CCTCTACTCAGAGCGTGCCTTGCTCCACTTTGTGAGTGGGAAAGGTGCAATCCATATTAACACAAGACAAATGTAAATTATAGAATGTCATGCTTTGATGCCCATAGTGTTTGATTTGACTCATTTCTAATTAAGTGAAACACTCTATGGACTATATTCTAAAATCCACACAACTTGAATCCGATTCGACCCTTTGCCCCCCACTAAGTATAACGTGAGGGGCTCAGGTCCCCAACTTTTAGAAGTGGGAATACAAGGTACACAACTTACCCCATTAAAAGTGCTCCAACTTTTGGAAGTGGGAATACAAGGTACACAACTTACCCCATTAAAAGTGCTCATGTTCTCTAGAGTTTTAGATCTCCTGCTGGCCACCGAACCAGTGGGGGGTAGAGAGCATGTAATATATTGTATATCTTATATAATATATTTCATGCTACTTACCCAAATATATATATATTTATATATATTTCATGCTAGTAGACTACAAGGCCCTAGCATATACTTACCCAAATATATATATATTTATATATATTTCATGCTAGTAGACTACAAGGCCCTAGATTATATGCTATTTGGAAAGCTGGAAGTATTCGTGACTCGAATTTTGGGGATGTAACATCATCAACCTAGCAACCGATTTCAAAAGGATAAAAAGAAAAAGTCACATAAGAAATAAGAAATCTATGGAATTTGTAGGTTAAGTGGGCCAAATCTGATATGATCATCTGGTTTTAGAAGGGTTTGATTTGAGTGTTTAAAAAATCAATAAAACGACTCTTGTGAAAAGAAAGTGTCTCTTGTGAAAGAAAAGTATATATTGTGTATCAAGTTAATATAAAAAGTATATATTGCAATCAATATTTATGGGAAGGGTTGATAGAATATCTATACTTTATTATAAGTTTAGGTATGGTTAGGTATCTATGATTTAGTTTCTATTATTATTGTTTGTAATTTGCCTATAAAAGATAAGTCTGTACATTCATATAAATAATAGACACAATGAGTCTCGTTAGAGAAACCTGAGACTCTTCACATAGTATCAGAGCATGTACATATAAATAATGGACACAATGAGTCTCTTCAGAGAAACCTGAAACTATTCACATGGTATCAGAGTCAGATTCATCTTAGTTGTGTCCATTCCTCATCTCTAAAGCATTGTTGCTAATTTTCAAGATGAGTCTGTTGCTCACCCAGTCGGTGCAACTTCTGACGAGTCGTGCTTCGACTCTCTGGTAAGTCGTGTTTTGACTTTCTATTGAGTCGTGTTTCGACTCTCTGATCTATCCTTTCCATTGAGTCGTGTTTCAACTCTTTGATTTATCATTTCTGCTGAGTCGTGTTTCGACTCTTTGATTTGTCATCTCTTCAAAGAAACCTAATACTATTCACAACTCTAACCTAAAATTTTAGATCAAGAAAATACTACTCCTACAACCTAAAATTTTAGATCAAGAAAATACTACTCCTACAGTGCTCCTACATTAGCACCGCTACACAATCATATTGTATCTAGTTGTGACTCATTTGACAATCCCCATAATGTCAATTTTTGTATTTATTTTTTGAATATTCAATCATTCCATCATCCAGTAAATATTAGTCTAAGTTGATTGTGCACCCGGGCTCATGAGTACACCTTATTTTCCAATTTAGGATCTTAAACATATACTAATTCAATCTAAAATCATTTTTGCTTTAAATCTATGGTATTTTTTATCTGATTTTTTTTTTGTTTTTTTAATCTATGGTAGTGCAGCTCAAAAATAGGGCAGATTTGATGAACTATGAAGAACTAAAATGAATGATCTAAAATAAATTAAGACAAACTATGCTTAAGATTCAAAATTCATGAATGATCTCAAATAAATTAAGACAAACTGTGCTTAAGATTCAAAATTCATTTTATTTGCTAATTCATAATCGTAGTGGTCCAATATTTTGAATCCAAAACTCATCTTAGATATAAATTTTGGATGGTGGATTTAAATAGGTACATGGCTTATGGACCAAAACCCTCTCTCTTGGTGTGACAAGGATAGTTATCCACGTAATTCATACGACAACAGCAATCCTGTGAAATTTAAAATTTAGAGAGAGAGATTAAATAATGGAAAGGGCTATTCTCAAAAGGGAAAAGTTTATATAGAGCCAAGGTTCTAAACAATCAAATTAGAGTTTATCTCAAAAATTTCATTAGAAAAGGTTGTTTTGATTTTCAAATGTGATCTAATTGATTATCTCACCATCAAGATGTATGGACATGAGAAAAAAATGGATTTCAAGTTTTGGAAGTGGTGTATTTTGTAATACATTTTTGGGCCATCAATTTTTAAGTTTTTATAGATCTATCGATCTATACATTTTGTTTAAGCTTTAAACTTTATAAATAAAGAGGAAAATATATTTTAAGGCTATCACAAAGATTTCCAATATTGAAATCACATTTCTCGATACTATTTGAAGGTAGGCTCTAATTTAATTGTTTAGAGCCTAGGCTCTATACAAACCGCACCTTATCCTAAAAGAGATTCAAGACAAAGAGAGAGCTCTCTCTTCATGCTTTCAAAATTGTTTAGAGAGAGAGATAGACTTTATATTTTTTTATGTTTTATTATAAAATGAAGCGTATGGATTGCCCCATTAATATTCTCAATAGCTAAGATCACCGTCGTATTGGTTACGTGTAAGATTGATTTATGGATAATACTCAGATGGCTTCCTTTCATCTTTAAGAGGATGATTTCTTAATCAACACCCTTACTACAAAAGTCAAAACAATATACACGATTTGTGGGCAATTAAAATAAGGGAAAGGTTTTTATGCATCCCCAACAGCATAGCATAGAAGTTCTATCCTCATCCTACCATCCAGCTGTCCAATTTTGATCAAGAGAATCATTCACCATTTGATTTTAGATCCGATGTCTCAAAGTATTTTATTTTTAGTTTTTATACAAATTTTATGAATATGAAATTTGGTACGTGCCATCTTCTTATTGGGGCGCACCTATAAAAAATATTAAAAATAATTTTTCGATAAAATATAATGATCAACATACCTCTTGAAACTTTCAGAGGTATTTTGATCATTTTATTTTATAGAAAATGTTTTTTTATATTTTTCTCTAGTGTGAGTTTAACAAAATAATAGACGTCCAAAATTTGGTGTCAAAATAGTTTATAGAAAAAAATTAAAAATAAAATAGTGTAGAGATGTGACATTTTGATTGAGCCAATCTTAGCCCTCCATTCAAAATGGACGGTTGGATAAGGGGAGGATAGAACTTCTATGCTATAGGAGAAGCATAAAAAGCTTGCCCATCAAATAAATGGTTGTAATGGCTGCAACTCTTTTAAGGTTTTTTACCTAAACATTAATTTCCATTGTTTAAAGATCATTAGACTTAACACAATTTGAGCTTCAAATTCATTACTTGAGATAGAAATAGATTTTTCAATGTTTAATATGTATTTGGATCTTAAAATCGGATAAAACTATGACCGAATCATGAATATGTAAGTAATGGTGGCAATGGTTGGATCAGTCCTGGCCATGTATTTGAATCTTAAAATCGGATAAAACTATGGCCGAATCATGAATATGTAAGGAATGGTGGCAATGGTTGGATCAGCCTTAGCCCTGGTCCAAGTCCAGCCCTTGCCCCATTGGGATTGTCCAAACACAGATGAAGAAAAAGCAAAAGAAAATAAGAGAAAAAAAAAAAAAGTTTTGGTGTAAAAAACTTATAGGATTATATGACAATCCATTTTCGCATCTAATTATAAAATTTTAAACTCCAAAAATAATTAAAATCATTAGGTCTATAAACATATGAAAATCTTTGAAAATAGACAGTCTAGATATTGTGTTGCTAGATGCACTATTTCTAATATTCAAAATCTTTGTTTTCTTCATATTTATACTTCTTGATGTCGAGATGATCAATTCGAAGGTTTCAACGTTAAAACAACATTTTTTGATGCGCACCTTTAATTCTACATTTTAAGTTTGCAACTTTATATAAACTTTTTCCAAAAAAGAAAAAGCCCTAGTTGGGCCGAACGGGGATAGGGTTATCCCTAGGGCCACAGTTTGTGGCATAGGTCCTACCTTATATGCATATGTTACGAGATGAAACAGTGCTGCTACTGTCCCAAAGAAAATATTTTAAAATTTGCACTTCTTTTATTCTTCCAAATAATTATACAGGCACTACTATTTAGGAATTTTGTATGTTTTTATTCGCACAAGTTGAGCCTATTCGCCAAATGGGATGGGACAAAATGTAGTAAGATAGTGACAGGGCAACCTCGAGCGAAACAAAAGATTCCAAAGGTCCCAAAAGCTCTCATGCTCCCGCAGGAGCATCTTATTTACTCTGTTAAAATCTTAGTATAAGAGTGCCTTTGTGGCATCAAATTTTTGGATTTAATGCTTACCACAGACTAACCTCAGTTTAATGTTTTTCTAAATCTCACTCTCTACACACGAAGAGAATTAAGATCTTCTTTTCTTGGTAATTCAATAATAGGAATTGAAGTTCGTTCGGTGTCACGGCTATTCACTCAAGCCCAAGCCCAAGCCCAAGCCCAATTCCTAAGAAATTAAGGTCTCAAGATTGAATAGCGATTATTTAATTTTTGAAGGGTGAGAGACCTCAAAATCCACATATTTTTACCTTCAAAATAATTATTTATGAATTTTTAAGTGGTTCCTAATATTTAAGGGGGAAAAGATTTGAAGATCCTCTTAAACTCGCACTTCTACATGAGGGATTAAACGTACAGTACACTCCTGCAGGAGTATTTTATAAAGGCTTAAAAGACACCCACCCATCAGCCCCAAGTTCGCGGAGCCTACGATGTTAAGCCGGCGGGACCACTATTACCACAACTAAATGTGAATCTTTTCCACGTGACGCATTTCCAGAAAGGCAGCCTCCAGGGTTTGGATTTTTCCCTCCCGCTCTCTCCCTATAAATCACAGGGCCCTGGTGGTTGTGGCATGAAGAGAGAGAGGAGAGGGAGAGAGAGAGGGAGACTGAATCGGTTAAAATATGGGTGGGTGGGCAATTGCAGTTCATGGTGGAGCAGGGATCGACCCGAGCCTGCCGCTGCAGCGCCAGGAAGAGGCCTGCCAAGCCCTTCTCTCCGCTCTCCATCTCGGCATCTCTGCCCTCCGCTCCGCCTCCTCCGCCGTCGATGTCGTAGAATTAGTGGTGAGTCTTCCTCATCTTTCCGTCGATGTCGTAGAATCGGTGTCGAGTCTTTCTGATCTTGCATTTGTTTGCAGTGGATCATTCGTCGAGCTAAGCCACCATTTGGTTTTCTTGATGGATTATGAGCAAAGTTCTTTGAAATCACTTTATTTTCTTTCTTTTGAATGTTCAAAAAATTCAGTTAATTCTATATAAAATCTTCATTATTTTGTTTTCTTTCTTGTGAATGTTGAGAATCAATACAAAATCTCATCATTTTGTTTTCTTTCTTTTGAATGTTGAAAATTACTCAAATTATTGTGAGGGTAAGAAGAGATACAACTTATTATTTGGTGGGTTTTTCATGAATAACAACACCATCAAATCTCACAATAAAATAAAATAAAAATAAAATAAACAAACGTGTTATAGGAGAACTTTAAAAAAGTGGTTACCGGGGTGATGTATCTTTCTGTTTTCTTTCGCATTCGTAACATGCAATTTAGAGGCCCTTATCTTTTGGTGTAATGACCGTGCTGATTTTTTTCTTTTGGAAAAAAGAAGTAACCCCCTAAATTTTAAAAAAATTCAAAGAAAACTCTTAACACTTTTTTTTTTTTTTCCTAATTACTCTTTTATTTTTCGCTTATTCCCCATAGTCCCAATTCGCCACCCTTTTTTACTCCCTTCCTTCACCCCTTTTCTCTCTCCTCTATGAGAATCTTCACCCCCCTTTCTCTCTCTACCCCCATAAATCTTCCCCACCTTTTTCCTTATGCCCTATAAATCTTTCCCTTCTTTCTCTCTCTACCTTATTAATCATTCCCCTCTCTATCATCCATGGGAAGAGAGAGAAAATGAGGGCACTTTTTTCTTTTCATATACACCCTAACCGTCTTCCCCTAAATTGCCATTTTCTTTGTTGTATACCCCCCACAATCCAAATCCCTTCTCCGGCCCTTCTCTCATTTCCCCATGAATTTTTGCGCTCCCCTTTTAGAAAAGAAAAGGTTAAAAAAAAAAAGGTATTAATTATTTTTGAATATTTAGGGGGTTTGTGGGCGGTGGGCTATCCATAGACATTAGGGTATTTATGAGACAATAAGATTAGTCGGGGTTAGGTTTTTTTTTTTTTTTTGTACAAGGGGGTCGCATCTATTCTCATGATACCTCTTTTATGAAACTTGTGCTTAATCACTAGTACACTTATTTAAAATCTAAAGGACAAAAATAATTGTGAGATCTTTCTATAAAAAGTAAATGATCTTTTTATAAACAATCCTCGTAAAAATAAAAAATTCTAAAGTTATTCTTTCTAGAGATATGAATCCAATGCCGGTTATGGAAGGAGGTTAAGGAAATATGCCCATTTTGGTTCTTAGTTTGAAATAATGTAGGGTGGGACAGGACTTTCTTTTGGCTGTTCATTAATTTTGATGGTCTTCATTTTTTTTAATGTTGTCAATGATCATGACCCATATGAAAAGTGAGGCGGCTAATGCTTCAGGTATTAGAAAGTAGCAAAGGAAGACAAAAAAGAAGCTCCGGATATTGGCCTTGCAATTGTTTCAGGCCAAACTGCTGTCCATGCGGTTCGAACTCACTCGATCCATGTTTATGGATCCTGTGGATTAGGTTCGGTTCGGTATGGGTCAAGCCCTGCCCTTTATATAGTGTATGCATTATTATTTTTTACATATTGTTGTATTTTGGCTTGGGCTGACACCAAATAGGTAAGGTCGTGGTCTATGGGTAGAGAATAAAAAACCAAGGTTTCGGAAAAATAAGTAAAAGAAAAATAGGGGCAACAAAGTTTTTTTTTACTATTCAGATAAACATCATTCAAACATGGAGAATACAAAGGTTTATGCGCTCTCTCAAGTCTTAAAATAAGTCTTTCCCTCTATCTAGAACACCCACCCACCCAAGGGCTATCGAACTAACCCTTTCTCTCTTTCACTTTATAATTTTCTCTCTATACAAAACTAATTTTTATCAAGAGAACAGCCATATAGAGACCTACGTGACCCACATTTTTATTCTCTTATTCCGTTTAGAAATTAGGTAATTTTCCTAAACTAATGGGATTTAGTTTCCCACAAAAAAGGACTTTATTTTGGCACCAAATCTAGATCGTGTGAAGCCCTGGACCCCACGGATCAGGTTCCTACTGACCATTGGACCTTGTTGGGTCCGGTCTGGTTGGGCCGCTTTCACTCTTATTGACATCAGAGCATTCAACCAGACCATCAAGTTTGGTTAAAAAAAAAAAACGGATGTGAAAATTGGGGCATGGACCATTAAACTTGCTCGAAGTCTTCAAAACTTTTATTTAGATTTTGTATTGTGAAAGACACATCCATCCAATTTTACATTTGATAGCTTGTGTTGAACCCACTAGAGGTCTCATTCTTTACAAACCAAAGCATAGTTTATTATACTTAAAGCTATTTATTATTTTTCAAATGTGTGGCATTTCAAAAACTTGATGGAAATCGTGCTTGATAGGTCAGGGAACTCGAATTAAACCCCCTGTTCAATTCGGGTTGTGGATCGGCTCTGACAGCACAAGGAACGGTGGAGATGGATGCTAGCATTATGGATGGCTCTACAAGGAAGTGTGGCGCTGTATCGGGGCTCTCCACGGTTAAAAATCCGATCTCTCTTGCCCGCCTGGTCATGGACAAATCACCCCATGCATATCTTGCTTTTGATGGAGCTGAAGCCTTTGCAAGACAGCATGTAATGTTCAAATAAATCTCCATTTATCATTTATTTTCATATGTTTAAATGAAAATATTTGGTCCATTGAAGGCAGACCGCGACACTAATCGCTATCTTTTTTTTCTTTTTTTTTATGTGAGGATAGATATAGAAATGCACTAAATGATGTTAGATCGAGGTCAAAACTTGTTTAGCCTCAAATTTTATAGATTGTCTCATCATCTATGAATAATTTACAAAAGAAAAACAATTTTTGAGTTCTTATGGGACTAGATTTAGTACCCCATGAGATAGACGGCTTGCACTCATTGAACTCAACAAACCATTTTTAAGGTCCACTGTAATGGTCCGCCTAAGAGTAGATGGACACTAATTACTTGTGTTAGATTATGCTAATAAATATTTTTTTATTAAACCTTGGACATGTTTCACTCGAATAGGGTGCAGAGATTGTGGACACAAGTTTTTTCATCATAGAGGAGAATGTTATCAGATTAAAGCAAGCCAAAGAGGCCAAAAGCATCCAGGTGATTACCATATTTCAATCTATTTAGCAACATCATAGGAAAATCAGTTTGTATTTCCAATTTTTCATAAAGAAAAAAAAGAATTGTCTAAAAGGTGATGAAGCTTTCATGAGTTTGTCGTTTGATTTTTTGAAGCAATTAATGGTGTTCTGTGTACCCTTGAATTTCTGAACATGATCTAACTGACTTTTGTTTTTTGGGTGGTTATCTAAGTTTCTTTTAACCATACTAGAACTGAGTTACATACTAGAACTGACTTACATACTAGAACTGAGTTACATAACTGCTTCAATTGATGAACTCTACTTTTAATCAAGATTCTTGACCCGAAAAGTTGAATGTAAATTTATGGGCTTATTTACATTTGCCAAATTCTTTTGATTTATTATACCCCGTGTTGCAATCACTGAGATATTTGAAAGTGGAGATGAATTGAAGCTCTGCTCATTGGCTGAGACGAACAACTCGACTACACTGTCATGTTGTAGCTTACTTTCTCTGACGTGCTCCTTTCCTCCCCCTTTGCAGTTTGATTACCGGCTTCCTAGCAAAGGATGGGACACATGCGCATCTGAAGCAGAGCAGATGGTGCAGATGAACGGGGTGCCAATCAGTTTGTACTCCCCTGAGACAGTTGGTTGTGTGGTGGTGGATGCTCTTGGGCGGTGTGCGGCTGCCACCTCGACTGGTGGACTCATCAACAAGATGTGTGGCCGTATTGGTGACTCACCACTCATCGGCGCTGGGACTTATGCTTGCAACATCTGTGCAGTGTCTGCAACGGGGGAGGGGGAGGCCATCATCCGAGCTACGCTTGCGAGGGATGTTGCTGCCCTCATGGAATTCAAGGGCATTTCCCTCAAGGAAGCCGTGGATTGTGCGATTCATGAGAGATTGGAAGACGGCAAGGGCGGGCTGATCGCTGTTTCTAACGATGGCCATGTCATCTGTGGCTTCAACACCACCGGAATGTTCAGAGCCCTGGCCACAGAAGATGGCCATATGGAAGTTGGTTTATGGGATTAGCATATCTGTTGCATTGCAAACTTCTGGTTTGTTATGTCATCACCCTAGAGGGCCTGTGTTACTAGGCTCTTTAGGGTTTGGTTTTCAGTGAAATAATGAACTGCTGCAATTAAATGGTGGAATAGTGAATTGTAACCAGTATTTAAGGTTTGGATTGAATGGAGCAGGAAGTGGTATGTGAATATATGAGTTGACATTTGATAGTAGATATAATAGTAGAGTGTTGTTAACATTAAAAAAAAAACTAGTGGTGTTTTATGAAAAAAGTTTATATAAGTGGGAAGCCCTGAATAATTAAATTAAGGTGCACCTCAAAAATTTCATTAGAAGATGGTGTTTTGATGCTAAAAAATCTTCAAATTGATCATCTCGACCTCAAGATACATATGCACGGAGAAAAAATGGATTTCACATTTTGAAAATAGTACATCTTGTAATGCATTTTTAGATCGTTAATTTTCAAGATTTTCAAACTTTTATAGATCTGCTCGATCTACACTATTTTTTAAGCTTTAAATTTTATAATTAGAGGTAAAAATAAATTTTAAGGCTATCACAAAGATTTCCAATATTGAAATCACATTTCTTGATACTATTTGAAGGTGTGATTTATTTTGATTGTTTAGAGCCTCGACCTTATACAAATCTCACCTTTTATTTATTATTAATATATTTGATAAAGGGTATGTTTTGTACAAGACACCAACCATAAAAAAATGAAAGGCGCACCCCCAAATCGTGCTCAAAGATGTATTTTCGTTCCGGAAACCCCTATGATGATCTGAAAATATATTTTCTACCCCTAAGCATAAATTTAAAGCTACCAAGATAGTGCGGATCAAGTAGATCTATTAACAATCGAAAGTCTAGAAAATGAAAGGTCCAAATAGTGCTTTACATGATGCACTATTTTTGAGACATGAAATACCATTTTTTTAAATATATATGTCTATACATTTGAAGATCAAGATGATCCAATTTCAATGGTTTTTTAGATATGCCTTACTTCTATAGTATAAAGTGGATAACTATATAATTCTTTTCCTTTAAGAAATAATGAGCTTATAATGTATAACACCACCCTACTAATACATTTAGAAAAGCTAACTCTTAATCTACTTTAAAAAAAAGAGCAGGGTAGGGGCCTGTCTTCCCCATTGAATTACCCAAATAATAATAATACTAATAATATTGATAATAATAATACTCTTTTCCATGGCGAATCAGGCATAATGGGATTTATATGTTCCACTTGTTTTAGATTTTGCTGAAATGCCATATATTAAAATTTTGCCTTTCCGATATATCCATAAGCATCATAATGCCTCTTAAAATGTCTATAATTTAATTTTCTCTTTTCGAATGTAAACTTGGGATTATGGTAGGTAGGAATGAACTTTAGACGTCATATTATAACACATGGCCACCTTGATCACCCAGATCTAGAGGCTATTCTTTATTTAGTCTGGTTTGTCAGTACCGACCCCATTTTTAGTTTTTAGATGAATGATTTCATGCAATGGTTACATAGTAATATAATGAAATAATATTTAAAAACTATATTAGCACCATTTGTTTTACCTCAATTTTTAAATATAGACTCTTTTCATTCCAATGAACAATTATTATATAAAATAAAATTTAAAAATACATACTAGAAAGTGTTTTTTTGTCTAATTAACATAAGTCGTCTATTGTGTTAAGATGCTTAGATATAGACTTTTGTTAGATAATGTTTTGATAGGGTTGCAACCCTATCAAATAAGTAAAGCCCCAACTAAAACCCCACTTAAAATTGAAATTCTAACGTTAAAAAACCTTCAATTCGATCATCTCAGCATTGACCATTGTGGTGGTGAAAAGAAAATTAGATTTCAAGCTCTAAAAATAGTGTATATTGTAATACATTATCGGGACCGTCCATTTCACCCTAAAAAAAAGGTGTTCACATATCCGCAATATCAAAATTTGAGCTTCAACTTTCATATTTGGTGTTGAAAATTGATTTTAGAACTACCATAGAAATTTCTAATACCCAAAGTGCTTTTAAGATATAAGACTTTACTTTATTTTCATAGAACGTAGACCTTGCATAACCTCATATTTATTTACTCGTTTCATCATAAAAATATATAAAAAAATATTTATGGCTGAAATACTTCCTAATCTTCTTCAAAACCACAAAAAAACATTAAATAACTTACGATAAACAAATTTGTTATTTTTTAATATTTTATATTTTTTTTGAATTTTTTTAAGTTAAGGTGATAAACGCGCCCACGGCCCATGGGCCACAGCCCCCGGCCAGTTCCTCGTAATCCTTCCAGTTCGGTTCTAGCGAGGTAGGTGGTCCAGCACAAAGTCAAATCTTTGTCCTAAAGCACGCGCCTGCAAACATTGAAAGAGCCAACCTTACTACAGTCTGCGGTCCAAAAAGGTGTACGTGAAACACGCTCGCGCGACTGATTTAACCGGCGGTCGCCGTACCGCCGGGCATGTTTACTGGTTCCGCCGGCGCACACTACATAAGGGTCCGCGGCGAACGGAGACCTCGTGTTGCCCACACTTTCTTTCTGATTCACTGTGTTTATGTTTCTTCGACGCCTTCATTTCCAGGTACTTTTTCCCCTTTTTTCTCCTCTTTCCTGATTTAATTTCTAGGGTTTCATGATCTAGGGTTTTTAAGTCTGTTTTTTATGCCAATTTGGTTCTAGGGCCCTTATTTGACGAATGTTGTTTAGGTTTTGAATATTATAAGTTTCTTAGGTGTTTCAGTTTCTTGCATGTAATTATGATTGTCCATGTAATACATGTGAAATTTAATAATTTTGTGTGCCTTTGCCGATGGTTATGGCTGTATTTAATGTGAAATTTGTTAATTCATTCTGTGATTGTTGGCCCCTTCCTTCAACAATCCCAAAACCCCAATGTAAGAACAAAACAACAATGAGGAATATCAGGGGTCCAAAATTTTCTTTGCAGAAAATGATAAAAAAAAGGAGTCTTTAACTGTATCAACGAAAATTGATTGAGCAAAGCCCCCCCTTTTTGTGTCTCTAAATTTTTACCCGCTAAAATAATTGCTGAATGTACTCTTGTTTTTTCTTCTCCTTTGATAAAAATGGAATAAATTTGATTGTTAGTAAATCTGCAACACAAATAGATCAAGTTAATTTTTTTTTCATTTTTTTGGTAACTATTTTCTTTTCTTTCTCGGTTTCTTTGGACTATTCTGTTTCATCCAAAAGCATGGGTGGAAATCCTATATCCTCTTTCTTTCATTCCTTCTTTTGAACTAGATCATTAACAAGTTTGCAGCAATAGTCATTCTTGTGTAGTCATTATTTCTTTTGTTTTCTTTTTGTAAACATGCTATGAAAAGAAAATACACTGCACATTCAAGTATAGTCGTTGTTTCATTTTGTTTGAAAATATTTGCTGCCCCCAATGTTATTTGAACTTTCCATTTTTATTTTTTTTTCGTTTTACCTTGATAAAATGATATGTATGTGTAATGGAATGAATTAGATTCTTTTTCTAGGTCCTGTGCTGTATTATAGCTGTTGTCATTGATTAATCAATGTTGGGTTCGATAACTCGCATTTTTGTTTTGTTTTGTTTTGTTTTTGGCCATATCTTTTATCATATATTTTGTTCAGTCATTCATGTTAAGGACTGATTTTGAGTTGTTAAACCTTAGCCAACTTGTAGATTGATTAATCTATGTTCCATCTTGATTGAATCGACTGGGCTGGAAACCAAAAACCTTGATCCTAATCATGTAGTTGATGATTGATTAATTGTGCTTGTTTAATATTAACTGTCAAGGACTTGCTTTTGGGTATGGTTAACCTTGTATATGGCAATGGTTAACTTGGAAAGCTTTTGGTTACTACTTGATGAAGGGCTAGAATTTGTACATGATATGATATAAGATTAACTTTGCTCAGAACGTCATGTGCATTGACTCTTACATAATGCGAACTTGTTTCATGTACCCAATGTCTTGAAGTGTATCTTATTTTGTTTATGATATCTTCCTTATTCTACAGTATAAAGCAGTTTCCCAGAAATGGAGAATTTCTTGAAAGGTGTGAATGACGAGTTTTCATCCGACAGATTCTTTGCAGTTCAGGACATTCAACAATGTCCATTTTTGAGGAACATCAACGAAGCCACAAGCTTCTCTTTCTCTTCCCCAATGAATTTCCTCACATCAGTACGTCTCTCTCTCTCTCT